TAGTCCTCAAGCTGTGGCCTACAAGGACATCTAATCCGACCAGTGGTCCATTTCCAGTAGCCTCTTTTCCTGGAGGCTATCTGGTAGGTGCTCCAGGTTGGGCAGCCGCGTTCCTCCAGGCTGCTTCCCCTGCCATCAGTGTGTGCGTGTCCAGAGGGAATGTCCTCCACCTGGGCACCAGCAGCAGCACCAGCAGTCCCTGCGTGCATGGCGTGCTGCTGGGTGAGCCGGGAAGGGACGCGTCTGCAGCTTTGCTTAGCCGTGAAATGAGACAAGCAGGCAAAACACTGCAGCACTGTGTACTAGTCCATGCTGCCTTCCCTAATATCATTAGCTGCTTTTTGTCATCTGATGGGCTTGCTTTTTCATTAAAGTTATAATTAATGTCATGTAATTGAAGTACTATCGCATTGTGTGTTATAAAAATGTAAAGGTGCCTATGTTTCTATGTTTAATATTAGAGTTTCTTATTGATATGGAAATTCCTCAGTTCTTCGAAGACTTGTTTCCATTGCACACTGCAAATAGGCTTAAAATTATTTTCCATGTCACATTTTACTCTGCTTTTCCACTGCTTTATAAAGGCAGACCTTCAACGCGATACTTAGAGAATGGTACAAAATATATGTTACAATCAATGGTTGGGCTATCTTAAATTGGTTCTGAATCATTTTGCGTCATGCCTCTCATTTCTAGTTAAACGAAGCTTTTTTCCTTTCCCATGTATGCTGTTTCCCGTTAGCTTCTAATGGAACATATCACATGTTTTTGATCTTTTTCTTTCCTGTATTTCCTGATTACAATTTAAATCCCCCAGAAGCTTTACAGCCGAACCACTAGTTACACACTTTTATCAGTGTTGCAGGAAAATGACCCTAGGTGAACCTCCTTTAGCAGGAGTGTTGGACTAGATGATCTCCCAAGGTCCCTTCCAACCCTTGCCATTCTGTGATTCTGTGACCTAACTAGTCTTTCAGGAAAATATTTTAGGCCCTCTGGGATTCTGCCAGTACAAGACATTGGGAAGAAAGAGTAAAATGTGATAACCTCTTTGGTGTATGTGACTCTTTTCGTAAGACAGAGAAACTGCTGGGGTTGCTCTGTCACTACATCTGCAGTTTCCTGGAGCACTACAGGCATCACAAAGCAGGTGCAACCCCCAACAGAGGCTACCTAAGATGTCCTTATCGCACTGTTTCAATTCCCCTTTCCTCTCACCGTTCTGACCAAACTTGCCCACCTTTGAATGGCCCAATGGCACCAGGCGTGCGAGTGGCTGAGGACGCTGCATCCCGTACCCTATGGGACTCAGCTGATACAGAACCACGGAGCAGCCCTGGGCATTGGGCCACCAGTTGTCCATCCTGCTTAACCATCAGCATTTTATGGCATTTTCTTCTACTTACTGATAAACACCTTCCCAGACAGCTCCTGGGTATGAGCTGTAGAACAGCACCGCAAAATAACATGGAAAAAACACATGGCTCCCTTTGCCAGACGCAGATACCTGACACTGCCCCAAGCAGACACTGCCCTCAGACACATCTAGGTACCCCAAGGCGCAGGACGTAGTCTCTGTGGGTGTGAAGGCACCACTGTAACGTTGCAGCACAACCCTCAGACATTTGTTTCAAGCATTTTGAACCAGAAAAAAAGAAAACCAGTGATAGTAAAAAAGTCTTAGACCCCACCATGGGATAGCATGGATAAGCGTAGTATGAATCATAGACTCATAGAATCATAAAGGAGGGAAAAGATCTCCAAGATCATCAAGGCCAACCGTCAACCCAACACCACCATATCTACTAAACCATGTCCCAGAAATGGACCTCACAGTCTTTGCCACCTGGCCACAGGGCCAGAAAAAAGTCCTTGGCCCCACTTTATTTAGTAGTACAAGCATAGACTTCCATGCCTGATCACACATGCTAGTTCTACCTAGAGTACCCAAAGGACAGTGTCATCTAGCCCGGTTTCCTTATCTGTTGACTCTCTTCCAAGCTGGCTGTATGAATGACCTGCAGAAGTAAGAATTTCCACATAATTTTAATCCCATGTTAACACCTTGATATGCAGATAACATCAGGGATAACATCACATTTTCCAGGCAGAAAACTCCCAAAGGGACTGAGGGGCTGCATAAAACATAAAGCGATGACTTCACATCTTACTGGAATTAAACCAAGCTGACAGTTAAATATTGGTCATCTGCAGCAATACATGGCAATTTTATGGTCATCAAGATTTAGAACAAGAAGTATGAATTGCCTTAGTCATGTGGAATAATAAGAATATTGGGTTGCTAGAATGGAATTTAGCCAGTGGGATAACAACATCGCTCTTGCAGTCAGTACCCAGCAACTATTAAGGGACAGTACATCAGTTTTGTGCCTCATTGGAAAGATGTCAAATTCCCCAGCACGACAGAGAATGGGTCCCAGAGCTGACATAAAAGGAATGGTGCCATCTCTTGAAATACAAGAAGTATTGGGAACCTGTAGCTATATCTTTACAGTCTCTGTTCCTCTTACTCTGGGTCGAGCTTACTTAACCCAATGATGGTAGATGATGATTCATTGAAACAACGAGAAGGAAGCAAGTCAAAGGAACGCAAAGGGCAGGATTTGTGCTCATGTACCTACCAAAATGTAGAAGCTAATGGGACATTTGGAAGTTCACAAATACTCAGAAAAATTACTTTGGTGTCCTATGAAACACAGCTTGAGGGGTCAGGACTTCTTTTTTTTTTTTTCATTTACCGCACTGTGAATCATAGAACTTTTTTCCTGAGTCACACTTTGTTTAATTTTTTCCCATCTCTGGAAAAAAGAGGATTACAATATCTCCACTGAATCACTGTACAACATGTGTTGTAATGTGTAAGGATCTGTGGTTGCTTCAGAGTAACCACTTCTATTCAAACGACGAGGTCATTCCATTTTCAAGCTTTCTCATTGCACAGTAGTTTCTATTTAAAATACACTCTATGTACAAAAATAGTCTTTCTTCATTGTTAGAACTATAAGGAAATTTCTTTTTAAAGACCTGTGAGGAAATTTGTTTAAAACCCCTTGGGCCTTTGCAGCCCATGGACTTCTGCTGAGCCATCTATTTATAAAGTACCAGACCTACTATGATTTTTAGGCATGACAGAATTCAACCATGGTGTTGGCAGCTTTAGGACGCCCCTCCTTTCAGTGGTTTCTATTATTTCGGAGCGTTGTTTTTGCATTGTTCCTAACACATTTCTTGATTACATATACTTGAGGCACTTTACACATTCCCCAAATACTTTCTCCTGTTAAATATTTGTAAAAGGATGAAATGTCATTTCAGCCGGTGCTGAAATCACAAGTGGCGAACAGGCTGACAAACAAGCTGTAGCATGAGAACCATTGGTCACCTTTCTTCACACACCTGTTTTAAATTTTCGAACTCTACATTCAAAACAGTATTTCAGAGTGAATTATGCCAATAAGCACCCTTGGTGTCATTAAACACATGGACAGAATTTAGAAACACTCAGTGGTGAGACCTCAACATCCAACAGGAACAAAAATGATTTGAAAATTTCCGGCCATGCTTGTCTAAGTTGATACAAACTCCCACTGGAACTATTTGGAATGTCTGTTTATACAAAACATAACTTACTGGCTGCTTGCAATACAAAGTGTATCTGATCATCTGCCTTCAAAAGAATGACTTCTTGTGATCAGTTTTGTAGTTTGGGCATGCGTAAGTTATGGGACCACCTCGCCAGGCTGCCAAAGTCCTGTCCTCCCATGCTACATCCATGCGAAACGTCCTGCTCCCTTTGCTTGAGCTGGCGTTAGTGCTCGCACAACTGGGCGGGGAGGCAGTGCAGGCAGTCAAACCAGCCAGAAATGGGCAATACAGAAAACAGAAACAGGGTTTAGCTCCCTGAACCAGGCCACCGGAGACTTTCAAATTCCTGCTTTGGTGCAAGAGAGAGTCAGAGACTTTCTGAGACTGAGAAAGAGTCTCTTCCTGCCTGGATCTAGAGCACCCGCTGTCCACGCAGAGTACAGGACAGATACAGCACAAACATACCACGCCTTTTGAGGCAACCACTGCTGAGCTTGAGACAAAAAATACCATCTCGGCAACAAGAAGGCATCACCAGGTGCCAGAAGTCATGGTAAGAAAAGCGTCTAAACTGGAACTTTTCAAGCACAAGCCTGAGCTTCTTTCTGAAGAGCATAGAAATTTTTATCAGATTACAGCTCAGTTTTAATGCTAACACTACACACCTTTATTAGCTCTCTCCCGTTATACTTGAGTATTAAAAATCTGAAAAGACACAACATGCTGTGGAGCTCTCTCCCGTTATACTTGAGTATTAAAAATCATTTGACTTACTGAAAAGACACAACATGCTGTGACTACACGACAAGCAAGCATCTTGTCAGTTTTCTCCCTAACAATTTTCTCTAACGAAAGATCAATAGATTAAAAAATGCTAATTTTAAAGATGCTGCCTTCTGTCGGACCTTGTTCTGCACATGTGTTTCCCCTCTGTTATTCTGGACAGATTATTTAGCGGTCAGAGAACTGACCAGGTTTCCTCTGGAGAAGAGTTCTGCTCTGCTGAGCCTTTCCCGTGCAGCTTTACATCACCTAGGACGGGTCTACACCATCCAACCATCGTACTCCCCCTTCCCAAACCAGGCAGGCGCAAGCCAACTTGGGTCCCGAAGCTATGTGGCTATGTCAGCACGGCACTGAGCCGGCTAAATACACCCTAATTAGCAGGACTGGGCAGCGGAGACTCACGGCTCTTTGGGCTGTAGGCTGGCATGCGTCCAGCCAGCTGGGAAGAGACGTCCGTCTGTCTGAGTACTAATGCTGCACCTGTACAACGAGGGCAGCATCCCGCATCCCAGACAGAGGGAGGGAGGACAAATCAGGGCGTAGAAATACCATGAAAGAGGGGGTGTCAATACCTGCAAGGCTGCTGGGTCCAGTTTGGTAGAGCTAGGCCACTTTCCCCTCGTTGCTGCTGTTCCACTGGGAGCCAGGCCTTCCCCCACAGAGGGCAGAGGACCCTCTTGCTCGTTCCCCTACGCTCACTTTGAAGTCCTTGCCCTCACAGTGGATCCCTGCTGATTCCTGCCCCTAGAAATGGGGACAAAAGCTCACCCTGGGGATTTCTCCAATTATTTCATCGATACTTGTTTGGCATGACATGAGGAATCTGCTCAAAGACACGGACGGTGCGAAACAAATCTCCGTGTTGTCTCCCTACTCCTACATCCCCACTGCAACTGATGTGTATTTGGGATAAGCATGAGTGAGAAGCAACATCACATTTTAGAGGGAAAATCACTTCAGACAGGCAACCCCGGGCACTCTACTACAGCTGATCCAGAAACCTAGCGAATGCCTAGGGTGGGAAAAGCCTCTCTCCTCACTCCAGTGCCGGCTGCTGCCCTCAGGCAGCCCCAGCCCGGTCCCTGCTCCTGATACTGGGGAGGAATTTGGCCTTGCGGAGCCCCCCCTGACAGCTGAGCCCCTGACCTCAGCCCCCATCTCCAAACCCCAGGAAAGCTTCCAGCCCACAAAGCACCGGCAGGCAACCAGCTAACCCTCCCTGCAGCAAGGGAGGGGGGTGCAGGGGGATGCCCCACAGCCT